AGCGGGAAGCCACGGTTGCCGGGGGCGACCTTGTGCTTCTTGGTGGAGGACCAGGAGCAGCTCTTCCTCCTCACCACCGGGACCGGGGGTGCGGAGCCCAGGGAGGGGCCGAGAGTGCGCGCTGGCTCTGCCCGGGGCCCGGCCCTCCCTGGATTCCGAGCAGGCGCCCCCCTGCCCCCCCCTCGCTGGATCCACCGTCAGAGAATGGATTGGAACACAGTCTTCTCATTCTTCATGGGCTTCTAAGCTCTTTACTTTACAAATGATGAGTGTGTATCATCGGCAAAGTCAGGAAAATAATTACTATCGCTCCAACTGTGTAAGGAGTATGTTTTTGTCTGGCTGCTTACCTTGAGGATGAAAGAGGGGCTGTGGGTTAAGCGCCAGCCCAGGTCATGGCGACTGCTTGGCCCTTAATCCTCCTCCGCCCGCGCTGGCCCTGCAGGGCGCCCCCCGCCCCACCTGCGCAGGTGGTCCCACCTGCCATGGCAGACGTGCACTCTCCGTGTCCACCCTGGGCGCTGAGATCCCCAAGTATTTCCAGATTCACTGATTTTCTTCTTCGTCTGGCAGCGATTTGCTTTATATTATTTTCTATGATTTTACAAGTAATATATGTGCCTTGTAAAACAAGTCATATCGAAAGTTATGAGGATGGAAGGGAAATCCGCCTCGGCTTCCGTCATGTTGACAGCACAGTGAAGATATTTCCATGTTTTATACATGTAAATGCACACATAATTTATGTAAATGTGAAGTTATTACACTTAACACATTTATTTTAATTTTTCCTTGCTTTCTCTGCTTCCACAATCCCTCTGAATACAGTCTAATGTGAACACGGTATTTTGTGCATTTTCTACGTGTACACGTGTACGTACATACACAGCCAGGCACTCATACGTGAACCTTCGCAACGTGCTTTTGGTATTGCTTGTTTTGTCAACATGCACTGATTTTATTTATAATTTTCTGATTGCTTTAATTGGTTAACATACTGAGGTAATGCTATGTAACATTCAACACGTGTGTTCTCGCATGTCCTGACCCACTCTCTGTCAGTGGCTTTGCCTGAATTTACAGTTTTCCTCCGCCCTGGCGTGCGGTGGCGATGCACACTCGGATAGCACGCTGTGAATTTCTGGCCCGTCATTTCAGCGGATGGGCCTCCAGCAGTTGGACAGCCGAGCCAAAGATACAGGTGTTAATGTAGGAGACATTGTCACATACTTTCAAATTAAGTTGTAAAAATGTCTCTTTCTTCTGAAAATAACTAAGAAAATCCTTTCACATGCATTCTCGCTTTTGCCAATCCATTCGGGTGATAAATGTCACGTCATTGTCACTCCAGTTTGCATGTGAGATTATCTGCTTTCTGATTTATGTTTAATTGTTAAACATTCCCATCGCGCAGCGCATCTGAGGCAGGAGTGACAGGGTTCTGCGCCCGTCACCGAGAGGAGACGCCGTTGAACGTGGCTCAGATGCTCCTCTTCTCCCTGCTCCGTCCACACCCTCCTTCCTCTCTCCTCTCTTCCCGATCTGCTCCCAGGAGCTCGTCCCTGCAGCCGCTCCGCCCCTTCCTTCTCTGAGGAGAGCCGTTACCAGGGCTGTATTTTTCAGGCCATGGAATTTTTTTTCCTGTACTTTCTTTTACTACTTCTCTATTTATTCACAAAATATGTTAATGCCTTGAGTTATAAGAATGTGCGTAGCATTTAACTCCAGCGTCATATTTTTGGAACTTTTGCACGTGCAATAAAGCCGTTTACGTGCTGTGATATATTCCTTTGTGTGACTCAATGGCAGTTACTCCTTTCTCTGCTCGAGGATAGATTATGTTCCACTTCTTCACCACTGCAAACGGAGCAGTGAGCATGCTTTTATCTGTCTGCCTGTGTGTGTGCGGGAAGTTAATAGACACTAGGAATCAGAACCGTGGTCACGGGTTTGCGCATCTTTGACCTTTCTGGATGTTTCCAGCATGCTCCTGGAAAACCGGCTCTGACGAACAGCGTGTTCCCAGAGCGAGCGTGCTGTCTCCCACTGGCTGGCAAGGAGTCCCTGTCTTCTCACGCCCTCAATGGCAACTGTGTTACCAGACTGAGTACATCTGAGTGACACGAGCAGTTATTTTGTTTTAATTTTGCATCGCACTTATAGGCGAGTTCAGCTGCTTCTAATATATTTAATACCTTTTGAGTTCCTATGAATTGACAATTCGAACCCTTTGAAAATTTATCTGCTGAGTTTGTATTTCTTTTATTGACTTTTAGGAATCCTTCCTCTATTCTGAACATGACTCTCTTGGGTATCTAAGTTGCAAATATTTTTTGTCACTTAATTGACTTTGACATTTTGGGGGGCTGAGTTCTTTTTATTGAGTTCAGACTTGCTAATATTTTACTTCATGGTTTGTTACCTTTGTGCCTGGTTTAAGAAATCCTTCCCTGACTTGGTCTATGAATGTATTCTCCTAGACTTTTTTCCTAAATGTTGTACATACATTGCTTTTAGCATTGAGATGTCTTCGTCTGTGTGGAGTATTCTTTAACAGGGCGACAGATGAGGATCTAATTGTTGATTTTCCTACGTGCTTCACCCCCCCACCCCCCACCACCTCCGGAGCCGTCTACTCTGCCTGAGCTCCGTGATTTGCAAGGCCGACTCTTCCAAACAGCCCGGTGCCCAGCGGGCGTGATTTGCAGGGGCTTTGCTGTGTCTGTTGTCTGGTTTTCCGTCTCTGTGTCAGCCCCGCACTTTCAATTGTAAAGCTCCCTCTGTGGTCAGACGAATGCCTTTCTTTTTCCTCTTTTCCTTCCTCATCTTCCTTCTTTCTCTTCTTTTTTACATTTATTCAACAAAATTTATTGGCTATTATTTTTCCTTTTTCTTTCGTAGGAAATTTGGGACCACAAATTCCACAAGAAATTCTGCTGTGATTATTTTAACATCAACTTTATTTAGATGCAACTGTGTGCCATATAATTTAATGCACCCGCCTTACGTAGACGTTGTGAGTTTTGTCACGTGCACACACCTTTGTGACTATCCCACAAGCACGGGACAGAACTTTCCCATCGTCTGGAGACTTCCTCTGTGCCCCTCCCCCGGCCCATCCCCAACCCCCGCCCAGCCCCTGGTCTGCGTCTCCCCCACGGAGCGGGTGTGTCTCACCCAGAGTCTCACGTAAGTGCAGTCACACTGCACGTCCCTGCCCCGCTTCCTTTGCTCTTGCATTGTTCCTGAGCTCTGTCTGTTGTTGCTGTCATCAGTGTGTTGTTTCGTTTTATTGCAGAGGAGCGTTCCATAGTGAGGATGGATAATACCACAATTCGTCTGTTCACTGTTCATGCACCTGTTGATGGACATTTAGGTTGTCTTTGGTTCTTGGCTATTACACATAAAGCTGCAACGAATATTCCAACTGACGTCTCTGTGTGGAGGTAGGTCTCCATCTCTCCTGGGCAAATAAATACCTAGGTATGGGAAAGCCAGGTGGCATGGTGGGCGGGTGCTTCCTTCAGAGGGACGGCAAATCCCATTTCACCTGTTTGACGGTTCTAGCTGCTCAACTTCCTGGACAACACTTGCCTTTTAAATTTCAGTCAAATATTAGAGCGGTGTCTCGCTGTGCCCTGAGTTTGTGTTTCCTTGACGACGCAACCATTTCCCATGTGCTCGTTTGCCGTCTGTCTGTCTTCTGGGTGACACGCCTCTTCAAGTCTTTTGCCTGTTTTGCACTGAGTTGTTCGTCTTAAGTTGTAAGAGATCTTTACATATTCTAGATACAAGTTCTTTGTCAGAGATACAATTTCTGAATGTTTTCTCTCAGTCAGTGGCTTATTTTTTTTCTTTTAATAGTGTCTTTCGAAAGCAAACGTGGTTAATTTTTATGAAGTCCATTTTGTGAATTTACGCTTTGGTGGATCGTGCTTTTGGTGTAGGGTCTAAGGAGTCCGGGTTTAACTCGGGGTCACAAACTTTCTCCCTGTGTTCTGTGAATATGTGCGGTTTATTTTATGTCAACAATAGTCAATAAAGCTGTAAAAACAGCAATGCTGGGTGCTGATGGAAAAGAGTCGAGTGATTTCAGCGCACTGTTTTGCTAGAATCCTCACACAGTTGAAAATCCACTTCTGACTTCAGTATCACTTCTGACTTCCCCAAACCTAACTACTGATAGCCTTCTGTTGACCAGAGGCCTAACCAGTAACAAACAATGGATTAACACGCACTTTGTATATGTGTTATGTACTGTATTCTCACAATAGTCAGCTAGAGAAAAGAAAACGCTACTAAGAAAGTCATAAGGAAGAGAAAATACATTTACTATTCATTTAGGGGAAGTGGATCATCACAAAGGTCTTCATCATCGTCTTCACGCTACGTAGGCTGAGGAGGAGGAAGAGGAGGGGTTGGTCTGTCTCTGGAGAGGCAGGGGCGGAAGAAAATCCACGTATAAGTGACCCTCACAGTTCAAACCTGTGTTGTTCAAGAGTCAACTGTATTTTCTAGAGGCTTAAGCGTATTAAAACATAAACTTAATTTTGTGAGGATTTAAAAAAATAATAAGAGAGTTTGAAGAGGACAATATATACAGGGTTTTGGACTGGGACCTGCGACCAAATCCTGGTTCTGCCATTTCCTTCCTGTGTGTTCTTGGATAAGTCACTTAACTTCTCTGAGTCTCAGTTTCACATCTGTAAACCAGGAATAGTAACCACATACCATAGATCTACCCTGACTAACAGGAAAAGCATTTGCAAAGAAGCTTCTAGAGAGCCTTGCCTGACACAGTTAAGCACTGCTAGTTTCCTCTTCCAACCTAAGGGGCTAAACCCCCCCAGAGGTCCCTCTTTGGCTACATACACTCCACCTCCTTTACCGACTGTGACGTCACAGCCCCTAGGAACGGGTGTCACACGGGACACACCCGAACTGCAAGGGGGAGTTTCCGCGAACGGTCCGATTACAAAGTTGGCCTGGGCCACTCCCTGTTCAGAGCAAAGTCACTTTTATTGTAATGAAATTTTAAAAGGCAGTCACATTAGTTACACATGTACACGACTGACTTAGTAACTGTTAGTCACAGAGAACATTCCGGAAATACAAATGCTTCAGCCACAGCACATTCACATCCACACGAAGCAAGGTTAAAGAGGAATGATTAAGTGCTCACGCTGCCCACAGAAGCCTGCTCGTGAAATCTGTTTTTCTTTTTTAGAGGAAACCGAGCGTGTGGCTGGAGCCGGCGGCCCTGGCCCCGCACGGCCTGCGGCCTCCATCTCGTGGCCGCGCCCCAGGAGCCTCTGTGACAGCGTGCCCACGCCGCCCTGCGGTGCCTCTTCAGGGTGCCCCGGACTCCAGGCAGTCGGGGAGACGGTGGACTCGCGGCTCCTTAGGACTGGGCTCTGGGGGCAGTGACTCCTGACAAGCGGGGACACGGCGGCCGAGACGGAGCCCGTACCGTCTGGTAACGCGGGGGCTTCCGCCCTGGCTGGTCACTGGCTGCGGCTGTGGGGCCACGGGCTTGCCCTGTCTGCGCGGCGGGTCAGAGGCGTCGCAGGGCAGGCGGGCTCGGAGAAGCGAGTGTTCGCGACGCCGCCACAGCTCAGGGGCCGCCCAGCGTGAGGCCGGGGGCGGGGAAGAGCCCGCCGTTCATTCCCTGGGGACAGCCTCCTCTCCTGGCCGACGCCAGCAGGAGCGTGACACGTGCCAGCGCGGCCAATCTGGAAACACACAGCGCCTTATCCCCTGGAGGGTTAAAGCCCCAGGGCTGAGGTCCACGGGCGGCCAGGACCCCCGCTGCCTGCAGTGCGCCCTACTCGTGCAACGACAAAGGGCTGACCCTGCAGTGTTGGAAAGTGGAGCACAATGTGGCTGTTCGTGACGGCGCTCTCATCCCCTGAAGCCAAAACGAAAACCAAAAGCGCGGGGAGTGACATACCAGCGGCATGTTCCAGAACCATCCGTGGCCACCGTCACAGTCACTGACCGGGCTTTGGTGGAGCCTCACCGTGGCTGCATCCACGTCCTTGCCAGGGCTCCGGCACCACCACGTGGCCCTCGCCTGGGCAAAGCCTTCTGCTTGCTCAGCCTGCGAGCGTCTGGCTGCAGGGCGCGGAGCAGGCGCGCTCTGGCCTCCTGGGCTGGGCAGCACCGGCCCGGGAGGGTCCTTTGTAAACTCGGATAATTAAACCCTCCGGGGCTTTAATCCTCACTCCAGTTTGTCTCAAAAACCTTTGGTGGGAGAATCCCTCGGCATGGATCCTCCCAGCCCTGGCCTCCTCCTCCTCCGTCTCCCCTGACTACGGTCCCAGTGGCAGCTCCTAGGACTCACGAGAGTCCCCGAAGCGGAGTGGGGCGTGGAGAAGACAACGCTGACCAGACTATCCCCAGACTCCCCGCGACGCCTGGGCGGGAAGGAGGCAGGGCCGGGGCTCCCTGACCCTCCAGGTGAGGACTCGGAAGGCAGGATGTTGGAGCAAAGCTCCTCGCCTGTCTCTGCTGCCTCCCTCGGTGCCCAGCACAGCCCAGGCGGGGCAGGCGCACCACCCAGGGGTTCGCCTTGGCATGCAGGAGGAGCCCCGACAGCCCTCCAGAAACACGAGGCAAAAACAAACGCAAGACCTCACAAGCTAAAGCCGCGAAGAGTCTGTTTTCACGTCACCGAGAAATACTTCTTGATCGGAAAGCTATTTTTGTGCCTTTTGTTTTTTGGAAATAATTATACCCATGGCCTAGGGCAAGCTCGAGGCTGCTGGAGGCAGAGGTGGCCCAGGGGCGGGGACGCAGAGGGAGCCCCATTCTGGGCTGCCGCTTGAGAATGTGCGCGGTTTTGGCCACCCGCCTTGTCCCCAGAAGCAAGAAAGCGTCACTTTGCGGCTGGAGCGCGCACCACGTGTGTCTACACTTGGGGCTCAATCGCCACACAGAGGCTTAAAAGCCGCTCTAGAAACTGCAGAGTCAGGGTCACGTTAGAGTCTGGGGACCAGGATGGCGCGGAGGTGGCCACCAGCCCTGGGCATCCACCGAGCACTGTCGACTTCTGCAGGTAAAGCTCCCGGCAGCGCTGAGCAGCGGGTCCCCGGGATGCCGGAGTGCCGCCTCCAGAGCCGCCGAGCCGAGCGTGGCACAGGACGGGAGGGCCTGGGCGCCCTGCCCCTGCCACCCACCCCTGCACAGAGGGCCCAGGCCTCGGTGACCTCAGGGTGTGCGGGGCTGGGGGTCACAGGGCCTCCGCTCGCCAGTGGAGCGAAGACGAGACGCTAACACGCAAACAAACAACAGAGCCGCTCAGACCCACGTCGGAAAGGGGGCACCACCGGGCTCCCGGGCAGGACGGGCCGGCTCCTCTAAGAGGAAGGGCCCGAATCCGCACTGGGGCTTGGACCGGAGAACTGACCTAGCAAAGTGAGCACGTCCCCAGCTGTGACTCCTGGTGACCCTAAGTGCCGGCCGAGCTCCCAGCCCCTGGGCCGAGCGTGCTCCGTTACGGGGGTGCTGCCGGGCCTGGGGACAGGGCTGCGCGGCTGACCGTGCATGCTGGGTTCCAGACGCTCACCCTGGCCACACGCGACAAACACGAGGCACAGCACACCCGCCAGGACAGAGCGTTCGTGGCGCACCGCACAAAGCACGTCCGTCCCACGCACGGCGGGCGCGTGCAGACGTCGGTGGAGCCGGGGCAGCCGTGTCCCGCGCGTCCTGCCTGCCTGTTTCCCAAGCCCACCCCGGCCCCTCCCACCGGGAGAAGTGAAGAGCAAGAGGAATCCGCCTGCAGCGTCCCGGGCGCCTGCTCCTGCTGCTGCTGCTGCTGCGTCTCTCTGGGCATGAAACGAACTTTTTATGAGGGTAAATTGTCCACTAAGAGATTATTCACAACCAAATTTAAGGACCCAGTAGGCTCACCCCCTGAGCACACACACAAAAAATACAATAAATACAACCGATCCCCAGGGCCCTGGTCAGTGGCCCAGCGGCCGCGGCTGCGGGTGGGAGCAGGGCAATGCGGCGCCCGGGGACGTGGCGGGAGGGTGGCTTCTGGTGGGGGGTCCTGCGGCAGGACGAGCAGGGCGGGGGCGGGCCCCGTCCGCAGGGGCAGCGACGTCAGAGCAGGGGTGGCGCGGCGCAGCGGGGGCCTCGCTCTGCCCGCGGCTACTCGGAGAACGGTGGGAACATGCCCAGGTCGGCGAAGTCCTCGATGTTATAGTTGCCGGCCCCCTGGGTCGGGTCTCCCGGCATGGGCAGCATGTCCTGCGGGGGGAGGAAGAGAAAGCCGGGCAGTCAGCGTGTTCGCTGGTGCAGGGGACACATCCCAGGAGCCCACCTGCCACTCATCCTCGCACCATCTCTCACGGGGCGGCCCCGGGGTACCCCTGGCCTTCCGTGGGATGCCCCGCAGGGTCCTCGAGCTTGAGGCCCTGGGAACCAGTTCTCCCGGGGAAGCTGTCGGGCCGGCAGTCAACAATGTCAGGGCACAGGCTGTGTCTACCCAAACCAGGGACACAGGGCGGACCGGAGCCCCACTGGCGGGGAGGGCCCAGCCTCCCACCAAGCCAGGTGCACACAGCAGACAGGTAAAACGCAACGTGGAACGGAGGATGTGTGTGGGGGCCCGGGTGGCTCATCTTCAGCCTGTATCTTAGGGCAGGGCCAAATCCCCGAATGGCTGGACTTCAGTTTTAACAAGTCCTCCAAGTTCTCTGGCCCTCAGACAATCCACCCAGAAAATGGGGGTAGCAACGTTTCAATTTCTTATGGCAAATTTCCCAACGTGTGTTCTGTTGAGTTCTCATCCCAGGTAATACTCTATGAGAAAAGAATTCCGTGGACAGTTAAGTTTGGGAAACAAGGCAACCTTTGCCTCCTCCTAGAAATCTAGGCCTCACTGGTATAGTAAAAGCTCTGATAAGTCCTGCAATAAAGAAACTGAATAACTTTGTCTAACCAGAGTTTCCTAAGCCTATCTGGCCAGGAATTCTCTGTAGCATCGTGACCATGGAGACCACGTCAGCAAATGCTACCTTACGGGGCTGCCGTGCGGCCCGAGAACAGGCCAAGAACAGAGCCTTTCGGCAGGAGGAGGCTGGGTCAGGCTTGGGCGTGGGTGGGGCTTCCCCGTGCAGTTGAAGGAAGGCTGCCCCGTGGGAGCCTGACTGACATCTGGGTTCTAGACCTTTGTCTGTGAAGACGTGGTGGCCTGGCCTGGTGGGGAGGAGCTTGGGATGAGGGTGGGTGAGTGAGGAGGGGAATTAGAGCCGTCCCGCGACCTGGTTCCCGCCCCATCCCTGCTTAGCAGCGCAGACCTGGGGCACCATGGGGGTGCCTAGGCTCCCGTTACAAGGGCCTGGGGATAGGCCGAGCCCTCCGGTGAGTGGTGGTTAATGGGCCTGTATCCCCATTTGGAGCCTTCCGGGCAAGCCCAGGAAACCCAAAAGGGGCAGAGCCCTGCTCTGGGGGGCTGTCACGGTACCCGTTCCAGCCGCACGGTCTGCCCTGGGCACGAGGCGTGGGCCGGGAATGTCTCAGGTAACAGAGAGGTGCGAGGCGCCAGGTAACCCTGGGTCAGGGATGCCCTGACTTAACCGCAGAGCAGAGCTAAGCCGGGGCAGGGCTGGCACCAGGGTGGGGAGGAGGAGGGTGGGCCGGGGGGAGGCACCAAGGCCCGGGGTGCTGCCGGTCTTAGGAGAGGCCCCCTTCGGCCTTTGGGCTTTTGCGTCTCTCCTGGGCAGCTCCGGGGCCTGGGGCAGCGAAGTCTCCCACTGCAGCACCCGCTCTGTGGGCCTCGGCCAAGGCCCGGCCCCCGCACCCTCCCGCATGCCCCTGAGGTTTCCGGCCGGGCAGGCTGGGACCTTCCACCCCCGGACCCCTCCAGCCCAGGCGGGGCCGGGACTCACGATGGCCACCGGGCCGCTGAGCGAGGGGGAAAGGAAGCAGAGAGAAGGCGCCGGTACCTACGAGGAGGCGGTGCTCGCCCGATTTACCTGGAACACCTCAGTCTGACCGGGCTGCTGGTGGGAGTGCTGCTCACCGCTCTGCTGGCCGTGGTGCTGGCTCTGCCACTGCGACCAGACTTCCGAGGGCCGCCCCTGGAACTGCCCGCCACTCTGTCCGCTTTCAGCTGAAAGATCCGATGCACAGGACACGTCCTTTAAAAGCCGTCCCGCGGTCCCTCCCGTGAGACCTAAGAACCTCTGCAGCTCGGAGGGCCCGCGTCTCTGAAAGGCACATTCCAGCCGGTGCTGGCAGCACACGTGACCCAGAGTAAGAGGCCGAGTGGATACGACAGACACGGGGGCCTCGGCCGCGAGGGCGGCTCTCCCTGGTCACTGCCAGGTGACCGGTGCTTTGAGCCCTAAGGCTCCCGTGCCCTTGGTGCCCACTCATGGAAACTGCCTGTGGGAGCCAGGGCCTGGGCTGGGAGAGGCCCTCCCCGGGCCGCGCGGGCGCTGCCGCTCCTGACTGCCGGCCCACGGCTGCTCCGGAACGGTGTCGGCCCCGCCAAAGGAAGAGCTTCCCCTCAGCAGTCCCCTGAGGGCCACCAGCCCCACGCTCTGCCCTTTGAGCAACTCAGCGAAGCCACACGTGGCCTTTACGCGGTCCTCGTACAGGGCCACGATCACACCCCTGCAGGCCGGCTGGTGGGCACAGGGCTCCTCAGCACCAGCCTGTTTCACAGGGAAGGAATTTGGTCACACAAGAAGGTAAGTTTCCTCCGCCAGTTAAATCAGTAAATTAACTTATAAATGAGAGCCATTTTCCTTCCATCTAGAGTTTACAAAAATATACCCAAAGGAAAAACAAAAATAGGAAAAACGAGCAGAATTTTGTTGAAAACATTTTTGAGATTTAAACAAAGAGGCGGCTTAAGAAGAAACACCCTTCAAAGAGGATGTCATTAGGCACGTTGAAAACCTTACAACTTTTTTCTTATCTCAAACCATTAACACTCTGGGGACAGTGCTGTCCAGCTGTGGGTGGCAGGACGGGCCATCTTGCCGCCTCACTTTTCCCAGCAGCCACGCTGACCACGGGAGGCCTCCGCCCCAGCCCACGCAGCTGCGCGCTGGGGAGACCTGAGATGAGGTTGGAAAGTGTTCAGGGAGAAGGAACTCTCGGCTTTCTCTCCCTCTGCCTGTCCCTCTCTCTCACACACGCATGCACACGCACACACACGCGTGTCCACCCACCCACAAACGCCGCCTGAGACATCAAGGGCTTTGACAAAACACACGAGCTGCCGCAGTGCTTTGCTCGGTGCTGCTCGAGCTCTGTGCGCCGGCGACGGCTGGCGAAGGTTTCCGCAAAACCAGGGCAGGCGCAACGCGCACCTGGGCACGACAGCAGCGTCAATCCACGGTGCACGCAGGGCTCCGCTGTAAGGCACACACGCCCGCCATCTGAAATGCCTCTTCCCAATAAGCTCGCGCCTGGCTCCAAGGATCGTGCCCACTGGCCGGATCTGGGAATCTGAAACTCTAGGCCTGGCTGAGGCTGGCTCACATCGTGGCAAAATCGAATGAGCAACAGCACCTGCCCCCCCGTGAGGGGGTCCCACCGATACCGCCCCATTCCGGAGTCTGCAGAGCTGAGCACGAGCTGGTCGCCGTTGCTGGGTGGGGGGCGGTCACAGCTACCTCTGCCGGAGGAGGGCGCGGCAGGCTGGGGGAGGCCCTGCCGCGTTCGGGGGAGATGGCTGCCACGCAGGCTCGCTCCAGGACTCTGCTCCGATGTCCCGGGGGGCTGCCTGTCGCAAACCAACGTCCCCAGCCCTTTCCCGCCCCAGCTGCACGGCTGCCTCCCCTCCCTGTGCCAGCTGCCTGCTCGAGCCACCACGCAGCGTCTCCGCGTCTCCCGCCCTCCTCCGCGTGCGGCCGCGCTGTGGCCGGCTCTGCCCTGCCAAGCCCAGCCCGCAGGCACGCAGGGCTCCGTCCTCCCCGTCTCTCGGGCATTCACCCTCTGTCCTTCCGTCTGAAGGCGTCCCGACTGCTGGGCTGCACGAGGTGTTGGCGCCGCTCCTCTTGGACCCCTCCTTCTCAGGCGCTCCCTGGTCCTTACTTACATCTCTGCCCCTTAACACTGCGTCCCCAACCCGGCCGCAACCTGGTGCCAGTCAGTGGCCTGTCAGAACCGGGCGGAGAATCGAGAATCGCCGCCTGAGCTCTACCTCCCCTGCCTCCCCACCCCTGTCCAAAGTGTCTTCCATGAAACTCAGGACCGGGCGCACAGGACGGGCTGAGCAGCGGGCAAGCGAGTGCAGCTTCATCTGTATTTGCAGCCGCCCCCTCGCTGGCATCACACCTGAGCTCCGCCTCCCCCTCTCCGTCCCTGGAAAAATCGCCTTCCGTGAAATCGGTCCCCGGTGCCAGAAAGTTTGGGGGTCGCTGTCTTGACACGTGCCGCAAGCAGGGCTCTGAGTCAGGCCTCCCCTCTCCTAAAGGCCGAGATGGGAATAAGCGCTTCTGTTTTCACGACTGACTCATTCGTTTGTTCAACTTGGCAAACATTTTCGAGCTCCTGCCGACACCGGCTCCGGGCTGGCTCCGGACGGACACTGGAACCCAAGCCGGCTTCTGTCCCGACGGCGTGGCTGGCGGGGAGGCGGCGGCAGCAGTTCCGCGCAGCGCAGAGCTGCCGCGACAGGGCAGAGCAGAGCCGGGACAGAAACTCTTAGGAGGGGCAGGGACCTCAGTAGCGGGAGGTGGAAAAGGCCTCTCAGAGCTCTCGGAGGAGACCAGAGGGAGATCAGCAGCTGACCCGCGCAGGGCCTGGAGGGGGCTGGCGGGGATTCTAGACAGCAGCGTCAGTCCGCTCTGAGCCCGGCAGTGGAAGGTGCCTGGCGCCTCCGGGCACCCGCAGGAGGCTCGGGACGGGTGAGGGAGCGAGTGTGACCAGGCAGGTGAGGGGGGCTGGAGCGTGAGCCAGGGGCCAGGTTCCCGCCATCCGGGGACGGATTTTGAGGGTGACAGAGAACCAGAGAGGGTTTCCAGCAGGGGTGTGGCACACAGACCCGCACCCGCAGGAAGGTCACCGCAGGAAGGTCACCGCCGGTGGGTGTGGCGAGGGCGGAGGGAAGGTGGCAGGTTGGGAAGGGGCTGCTGCAGGACCCTGCGAGAGAGGACGGCGCCTTGACCCACGGGGCGGCGAGGGCTGGAGCAGCGCGTGCACTTGAGCTATCACGGACGCCGGCCATGCTGGGCGGTGGGGCGGGAACAGCTCAAGTGTCTGGATTTACAGTTCCGGCCTCTCTCCGTAGCTTCGGCTGCACTCGCCCGGCCTCGGTGACACGTCCGAGCCGTACGACGGCTGTGCAAACACCGTGTCCGCAGGGACCCCCTCCCCTCCTCACGGACTCTGTCATCTCCCTTCCTCCCTCCTCACGCCGCCCCCAAAGCCACGCGGCTACTGGGGCCATCCTTCTCAGACACGCGTCCGCTGCTTGCAGACAGACGGCGCTGTTGGCCACGTCCGTGAGGCCCGTGTTCTTCAGAGTCCGCACGAAGACCCTCTGTGATCCGCTTTTATCTTGCAGCCTTGTCTCCAGCGGCGTGTCACTGTAACCCCTGCCCTGGTCACGTGACAATACCCGAACGTCCCCCAGAGGGCCACACAATCCAGCTCCGTGCTGCCGCGTGTTCTCTCCTCACACACACGCCTCTCCTCTGTGCTGGCGGATTCCGCGCGTTCCAGGCCCGAATCGCGTGTGACCGCGTGTGCCTCCCTCCCTCGCTGCCGGGGCCTGTCGCACGACACTGACTTACTCCAGCGTGTCTCTGAAGGCCGGGGTGTGTCCACACCCCTCCCAGGCCGCACTGAGGGTGGCACGCAGGTGGCTTCGGGGAGTGTTTGCCGAAGCAATGAGGGAGGGCGGGGAGGGAGCCGGGGGCAGGAAGCGAGAACACGGACATTTCACAAACTTCTCTCTCCTTGCACTGGAGGCTTCTGGGTGCAGAGACTTGTAAGGAAACGAGTGCGCGTTCTGCCATCGGTCCCCACCCAGGGACAGCCAGAGACGGGGTGGGTGTCGGGGACGAGGACTGGAGGAAGATCAGCTCTCTGTGTGCATCTGGGGGTACCTGACTCTATTAATCACAGATACGAGATTCCAGAATAAAAATCTTTAACGTCTGCAAAGGGAAAAAAGTCAATTAACCAGCTTGCTTTGGAAGTGGCACAAGGTGATAAGGGAGGATGGAAAGGACGTGGTATTTTCGGGGTGCCGACTGCACACGGTATGACCACGTGTCAGGAATCACGCCAGGTATTTTACATACACTGTTTCAATTCGTTTCCTCTTCATTCCAACTCTAAGAAATGGGTTCATTATCCGCATTTCTCAGATAAGGAAACTGAGGCTCAAAGGGGGCAGGAAATCAGCACAACTCGTTTAGCGTAGAAATGCCTAGATCTTTCCGGCATTGCAGCCCACGTGCGCTCTGTGGACAGACGCAGTGCTCGGGCTGAAGGCTGCCGCGTGCTGGCCCGAGCAGTGTGGGGCAGCACTGGGACCGAGATCGGCCGGATCCATCGGGAAAGACGGACGAGTTGCCGGGCAATTATCACGGAACTGTCACCAGCTCTTGCGAGGGAGGCCCGGCCTCCGCGAGAGGCCCTGGGGGTGGCCGCAGCGCCGACTCCAGGCCTCCTCGAGGCCGTCACTCCACAGCGTGACCTGAGGGATGAGCTCGTGGCCACGAGAGGGGAGAGTCAAGGAAAAAGTCCTCTCGGCCTCTGCGCTGAAAGGCCGCGCCCTCCCGGGTTGTTTGCGCGAGCTCTCTGAGCACGGCGAGCGGGAGCTTCCGCGTGGTCTCTCCCGGGGGCCGCAGCACTGTGGGCTCCCGCACGCACGCACGGTGGGCGTGGCTGCCGTGGCTGCCCCCACAACACACCCGCAGGCCTTTCTGGGAAAAACCCTGTGGTCTCCAACGCCTTTATGTTACCTTATTGTCCCCAAACCCACGTACACAGTCACAAACTACGAGCTGGGTTCCAGCCACGCCGTTCCTTCTGCTCCGTGGCTTCCTGAGTAAGGCCGGGGCCACCTGCAGCCCAGGTGTGCAGACGGAGTGCGCTGTTGGCTGCTGCCATCTGGGCCGCTGGGTGGGCTTTCAGACCCCAGGC